GGCGTGTGCCACCACTGCCTGGCGCATATTTGTAAATTTTATACTTAAGCCTTTGATTAATTTTGCATTATTCAACCTGAGAGACGGGGATCTTTTTTCTGTCATCACTTCATACATGGTAGGCACATACTCCACCACTGAGTTAAATGTCAAGTCCTTGTGTCTCATTTACATGGGGAACCTAAAAAGCTTACATATAGGCATCCTCCTGAATATTAACCTTCATCAGGCGATGAAAGGAGACAGATACAGAGACCCACATTGGAACACCGGACAGAAATCTCAAGGTCCAAATCAGGAGCAGAAGGAGAGAGAGCACGAGCAAGGAACTCAGGACCGCGAGGGGCGCACCCACACACTGAGACAATGGGGATGTTCTATCGGGAACTCACCAAGGCCAGCTGGCCTGGATCTGAAAAAGCATGGGATAAAACCAGACTTGCTGAACATAGCGGACAATGAGGACTACTGAGAACTCAAGAACAATGGCAATGGGTTTTTGATCCTACTGCACGTACTGGCTTTGTGGGAGCTTAGGCAGTTTGGATGCTCACCTTACTAGACCTAGATAGAGGTGGGTGGTCCTTGGACTTCCCACAGGGCAGGGAACCCTGATTGCTCTTTGGGCTGATGAGGGAGGGGGATTTGATTGGGGAAGGGGGAGGGAAATGGGAGGCGGTGGCGGGGAAGAGACAGAAATCTTTAATAAATAAATAAATTAAAAAAAATCCTAATACTTTAGAAACTTGAGTTAGGTTTGAAGTCAACTTGGACTACACAGTGAGACTATCTTAAAAAAAAAAAAAAAAACTGAAAGAAAAACCGGAAAGGGCTCTAATCCCCACCGCGCAACTGAAGAAAAAAGCCACAAAAACAGCCAGAAGCTCAAATATACAGTACGAGCAGCAAACTTTTTAGGCGTTAGTTCAGAGGACACATGACCAAGTGCTGTGCAGATTAGGTTTCTGGCAATAGAACTAATTTTAGAAAGCACAAATGGTAGATTTGTACTTACTATATTTTAAGATTATCTGGAAGCCTGACACGAGGCAGGGGCAACTGAATTCCAATTGGGCTAAAGTTACTGAAGCCAAATATGTAAATTCTGCTCTCAACCTGCAAAACCAGTCTGAAACAAATACGTTTCATATTCCATAGTGAGGTCCCATTAAGGTTTTTAAAGACTTGAGTCTTTAGTGAACTCTTAGGTAGTTCGTTAACAAACTAACAACTCTAGGTTCCTGATAATGACTAGTATTAGCTTTTTATTAACAAAAAGAATTACCCAGTTAATACCTGTAAATTAGAAAGCTAGTCTTTGATGCTTGTGAGAAAAAGCCATCCAGTGTATATTAAAAGGTTTGAATCAACAAGCTTAATGAAAACTAATTTTAACTATAAAATTAGCACTTTCAAATAGAGTTCCACTAAAATGATGTCTTTTTGGACTTTCTTGTTCAGGTATAAATCCCTCAGTCAATGAGGATGGAGATGGCTCAATGGTTGAAAGTACTTGTGTTTCAGAGTACCCATGCTCAGTTCCTAGCATCCACATAGCAAGCTCTATGTCCCAGCTGTAGACCTGTACTCTCTTCTAGCCTAAAAGGGCAATTGCACCCATGTGCACATACTACCCCACGCCATAGACACACACACACACATCCCTCCAGTCAATGATGGATAAATATGTCGACTTCTGATCATGTCTTCTTACTGAAAATGTCAAGATATAACCTTTTTATAACTTAAACCCCACTGCTCAAAAGTTCTGGTAATGTGCTGAGCACTCGGCCTTATTTTTTATTCCATTTTTTATGCCAACCCCCCCCCCCCAATTTATTACAAGTAGGTTCTAAACTATACTATACTTTTTAAAAAATATTTATTTATTTATTATGTATACAATATTCTGTCTGTGTATATGCCTGCAGGCCAGAAGAGGGCACCAAACCCCATTACAGATGGTTGAGAGCCACCATGTGGTTGCTGGGAATTGAACTCAGGACCTTTGGAAGATCAGGCAATGCTCTTAACCTCTGAGCCATCTCTCCAGCCCCGAAACTAAACTATACTATACTTTATACATGCAGTGTTCCTTAGGCCTAACTGTATTTTCCCTATACTTGAACTGGTTTTGACTCAATCTCTTTCTATCCTTTAGTAGAAAAAAAAAAATAATCTCTTGCTGTGAATGGTGGTACAAGCTTGTTATATTCCTACCCTTGAGAGCAGGAAGATTGTCTTAAGTTCAAGGCCAGATTGGTCTGAGTGAGTTCCAAGTCAGCCAGGTCTACATATTGACACCCTCTTCCAAACTAATCAATAAAAGAAATGTTTATGTTTTCTGTTTCTATTAAGGTTGCTTTTGTCTTTTTTCATTCCTTTTGAAGACAGTTTTTTTTTTTTTTTTTTTTTTTTTTTTTTTTTTGTGTAGCTGTTGTCCTGTAGACAAGGCTGGTTTTAAATTCAGGGATCCACTGCCTCTGTTGGGATTAAAAGCTGTGTGGAATCACCACTTCCTGGCTTGCTTTTGATTTTTCTTTATATTTTGTACCACCGTTGGTAAATGGAATAGAGAAATTTTATCTTTGGGCTCCTTGGCAAACTAGTACTAGCATGTACAATAATTTGGATAAACTGAATATGATATAGTAAAAGACCCATTAGAAGGCAAGGAAACAAACAGAAGAAACTGCAAAAAGAGGTCAGAGGGCTTCAAAACAAATCATTTCACAACCCTGCCTTGTTTTTTACTGTTTGCCAGCTTGGATAAAAGGGCAAGGAGTCCCCACCCACTCCCTGATAGGGTTTCTCTGGATAGCCCTGGCTATCATGGAGCTCTGTAGACAGGATGGCCTTCTTACTGAGATCCACGTGACTCTACTGGGATTAAAAAACACATGGGACACACATTTTTTATTATTGATTTACTCCTTGTTCTGGACCTGAGACCTATCAATTAATGAAACATTGATTTTAAGACCTCAAGAGACAATGACAATTTATTCAATTTATTAGATTCAAGCAAAAAGGGGGCAGGAACCAGGGAACCAACAAAAACTCAGATATTGTTCCCTCATTTCACATTCACTGTTATCCATGAATTATTTGTCTTTTCTTTTTTAAATTTTATCAGGGTTTCTCTACAGCTTTGGGGCCTGTCCCAGAACTCTGTAAACCAGCCTGGCATCAAATCCAGAAGTCTGCTGACTGGGATTAAAGGCATACACCATCACTAGTGGGCAAGACTCATCATTTGTAAAGTCTTTGGGGTCTGAGTTAGCCTGAAACTGGATTCAAATGACTCCTGGGATATACTCCCATTTTGTACTTTACACAGAAACTCAGTAACTTACTGCTGAATAGAAAATGAATCAAGGATGGAGTCAATAGGGAAATTAAAAATCTGAAAAAATGTAGATAACTTATATGATAAAGCAAATACAGTACTAGAGAGCGAAGAAACATGTACAAGTCCCTGGGTTCAAGTCCCAGGAGCAAAACAAACCCAATAGCCAGGAATCTTGAACTATATGCCCCTTAGTCCCAGCATTTGGGAGGCAGAGGCAGGCAGTGGGCAGCCTGGTTTTAAGAGTTCCACCAATTGCCAGGACCGTCTCAAATCCAAAATGCCAGGTAGTGGTGGCATACATCTTTAATTCCAGCAGAGGCAGGTGATCTGAGAAACCCTGTTTTGAAAAACTAAAAAACCCACCCAAACCCAATAATAAGCAGAGTATCAAGAGTTTTAATGTTATGAGCAAGGAAGTCAGGACCACGAGGGGTACACCCACCGTGACAGTGGAACTGATCTATTGGGAGCTCACCAAGGCAAGCGGGACTGGGACTGAATAAGTATGGGATGAAACCGGACTTTCTGAACATGGCGGACAATGAAGGCTGATGAGAAGCCAAGGACAATGGCACTAGCTTTCGATCCTATTAGCCTGTTTGGATGCTCACCTTCCTGGTCCTGGATAGAAGTGGGAGGACCTTGGACTTCCCACAGGGCAGGGAATAGGGACTGCTCTTCATTCTCGAGAGGGGGAATGGAGTGGGCGGAGGGGTAGGGGGTAATGTGTGCGAGGAGGGTTAAGAAATTTTTTTTTGCAACTAAAAATAAAATAAACAAAAAGTTTTAATGTTCTAATTATTAAAAGAAAAATAAGCCAGTTAGTGGAGGATGCATTCAGCAGAAAAGACAATTCAAAAACCAAGAAACAAAAAAGGAGCTGGTTCTAAATAGGAAAGCCCTCTCCTGCCATTGATAAAACTAGTCTTGAAAAACCAAAAGGTTTATAAAATGTAAAACAGCACTGCCACATTTCATTAGTTGAGTTAGAAAAATCTGCAGAAACACTCAGAGCTAAAAAATATCAAGCTAGAGAATATCTGATCTGACCAAGATGCTTCAACTACACCCAAACAGCATGCTAGCTTTGAGCAGTCAGAACCCATGAAGAATGGGCATTCATAGCCAACTCCTTTTCCAAAGGCAGCAAGGTTAAGTCCAATGGTACCAGAAGGAATTGGATGTTATAGGCGAGACTACTAGATTCTGTTCTCATAAAAATTTTATAAGCAAGTTACTTAAGGATCTTTATCTTAAACTCTAAGCTGGCCGCTGAGGCACTTTGGATCAGACTCCACAAAGCACATGAGTGTTAAACTAAAACTGGACACAACGATCTGCCTACTTTATTATGAGTGGGAGACCCTGCCTCAAAAATCCCCTGGCAACTACAAATGGATAATCGAAGTTAGCAAGATAGAAGGGCAAGCTAGGCCATTCCCTTTAACCAAAAGCACCAGAGGCAGGCAGAACAGCTTTAAGCCCAGCCTGGTCTACAAAGAAACCTTACTGGCAAAGACCACCCCCCCCCCACAATACTGCTATTTGGATATCACACCCAAAGACAGACCACAATCCCTGGCATCTCATTTCCATGCAGCAACCTTATATGTTGACCCACCACTGACGCAAATAACTGAAGAAATAGTTGTTGCAACTGTACATTTATTGCAGCATTCAGTTAAACCCCACTGGGCAAGAGAATAAGGCATATAACAAATATTACAGGCCACATCATATGCTGTTCTGTTTACTAGACAGTGTCATAATCCTAGTAAAGATTCTCATAAAACCACTGAAAATTTTCACCCAGCTTTAATTCCATTCATTTTAAACCCAACAGGATCAACGACTAAACACTCCCATCCACTGATTGCATACAACCCACAACTTTCTGTAAGCGTGATCCCACGTTCTCCTCAAAAACTAGTATCGCAGATGGCTCCGCAGGCAAACAGTCTCCTTGTTTAGGAGGTAAGATGGACGAGTGAGGACAGCCAGAGCCGTGCAAAGGCCTCAACTCCAAACACGCTAGTAGTCAACACTGCACATCGTGTCTGCCTTTTCACCACCTCCAATTCTCATTCGCCAGCAAAAGCTTGTCTCTGGCCCTAGAAAAAGAAACACAGCGATTACAATACTACCAACACTTAAAAAAAAAAAAAAAAAAACTCAAGGTGCTTTTAGAACAGTCTATCTCAGAAGCCAGATCCGTAATTTTGATTTTTCAACAGCAATTTCAGATTCGGGATAGGATCATCATAGATTAGACCAAAAACATGTTCAGAAAATAAAGGAAAAAAACCCTCTACTCACACTCGATTCTCCGAGGAGAGCTAGGTACTTTGCAGGCAGCCGGCACCTCTGTGCTTTCACTGCTGGCAGAAAAAAAGCACCATGACACACTTATCTACAAAGTCCCATGCATCTAAAACACTCCACTTTCGCATTTTGTTTCTTCCTCCGGGCAACCATCTTTGATATATAACCCACGACTGTTTAAAGTCAATCGTTTTACGGTGGCTCTTCAATACTATAGCCACCCCAAATCATTAAGTATTCATTAATAGGAAGCTACTTATATGTAAACGTAATGCTTATTTATGCTGACAAAGACCTAGGCTTCATACACACCTTTTCAATGAGTCAGGTCTTAAACAAATTACTTTTTGTTATTAATTCTCTTGGATGATTTGGACCTCTCTCCATCTAATTAAAAAAAAAAGCAGAATTTTAAGCACCATACAATCGGTCTATCCGTTCAATAAGAATCCCAAGCTGCATCACCCTTACCTGGGCATCTCTTTGCAACCGCTCTGAAGACCCAGAAAAAGATGGCGTCATCGCTCCTGTGAAAGGATTTTTAATCAGTCGACTCTTGGGCAACACCAATACATTCCGAACAGCTCCTAACTCCTGGACCCTTCCTCCGCACGTCAGTGACGTGTCAGAACCCACCCGTGCTGGGGCTGAGGAACCAGACCCCAGAGTCCATCCAGGCCGCCCAGCCCCAACCTTCTTGGGCCTACACTCCAATCTTGCAGTCTCTCGCTGCAGATGCGCACTTCCCAGAGCAAGCTTTCAACGACACGCTAACCTCCAAGGCTGTCCCACAAAACAGAAACCTCCAACTTCACCCCGCGCCACGTTATTTCCCCGGCCCATCCGTCTGCACCGCGAACTCACCTACAGACCACAGTAGACTCTCAGCTCGCCGACGTAAAAGGACCAGCCGCTCCGCCTGCAGCTCCCTTTATAGCCTCCGTGGCGTGAGCCCGGGGCTGCCCCTCCCTCTCGCACCGATTGGACTCGGTGCAGTGTAGGGGCGTGGTCTTTCCCTGAGGCACCGCGTGGGAGCGCGCGCCGCCGCTCTATTCTTCCGGGCCGTTCTGGGGCGTGGCGCGCGCCGGCCGCCGGCCCGCGTGCGCGTCCATCTCTGCGCGCGCTCCCGCCGGCACCCTGCCACCCGTCTCTTCCGAGTCTGCCGAGCCGCCGGCTCTACGTGGCGTGGGAGTGGCGCCAGAATTCAAACGAACAGCCGCCTGCTTCGAGCCAAGTCGGCTAGGACGGTCGGCGGCTGGGAGCGGCCTTGCGATCGCCGCGCAGGCGGCCTTTGCGCGCGGCTGGCGGAGCAGCTTGGCTGGCCTGGTGACCCGGTGCTGCGCTTGGTCCCCAGCGGCGCAGCGGAATGGACCGTGGCGGACAGAACCACGCGGGTGAAAACCCGAAAGCCTTGCGCTTATCTTTCGTGCACCCTGCGGATCCCGCAGGTCTGCGGAAGGCCACGCCGTCGCGTGCGTGCGGCCCAGTGCCAGTTTAGCCCCCCTGCCCGGTTCAGCCCCTCCCCCTCCCGGTTACAAGGCTCTAGTGACCGTTATTCTGTGACAATCCTGAGAAGTTTAACACTCCATTTCACAAAGGAGGAAGCAGGTCAAAAACCGCCGGTTGGCCTAAGGTCACACAGCTGTCCTTCGCGATTTTTAAGTTTCTTGCTATTAAATTATAAATGTAAAAATAAGAGGGACTAATTCATAGACTTGAAACTCAAAAATAATGCTCCAGTAATTGGCATGTACAGGTGAATGTGTGGTTGCACAAACTACACTGGATTTTTCAGCATTTGGAAACTCGGGTCTTTATTTGCAGTTTGCACTGATAAAATGACGTGTGCATTTGTCCTCAGCTTCCGTTACAGTGTGTGAGGAGCTCCTCTGGTTTTGGGTATTGCTCTTTTATTTGACTAAGAGCAGAGCCTATGGCCAAGTAATTGTTAAATGAGTGAAGGGGTATGTGTGGTGTCTCTCAGAAAACTCGAATGATTGAACTCCAGCAAAAGGTAATAGCAAAGATGAAATTTCTCCTAGGTGTTTTTTCTTTTTCACAATGTTGCCTAATGTACAGTGTAAACTCATGCATTCTTCACGTTGCTTTTAAAACACCGTCAGGTGGCTGGAGAGATGACTCAGCAGTTAAGAACAGTGGCTGCTGTTCCAGGGGTCCTGAGTTCAGTTCCCAGCAGCCACATGGTAGCTCACAACCATCTGTAATGCGATCTGGCGCCCTCTTCTGCTCCTAGGCATGCATGCAGACAGAACATTATACAGAATACAGAATAATCTATATATGTAGCAGCATGATATTCAGTGTTCAGTAGGATGTATCAGTGTATTTTAAGCAGTTTCCAGTTTTTCACTATTGACAACAGCACACAATAAAATTAAAATTCAGCCGGGCGATGGTGGCACACGCCTTTAATCCCAGCACTCGGGAGGCAGAGGCAGGAGGATCTCTGTGAGTTGGAGACCAACCTGGTCTACAGAGCTAGTTCCAGGACAGGCTCCAAAGCCACAGAGAAACCCTGTGTCGAAAAACCAAAAATAAATAAATAAATAAAATAAAATTAAATTAAAATTCATTTGGGCAATGGTGGCAATGGTGGCGCATGCCTGCCTTTAAACCTAGTACTCAGGAGGCAGAGACAGAGATCTCTGTGAGTAGGAGGCCAGTTTGGTTTATTTATTTATTTATTTATTTATTTTTTTTTTTTGTTTTTCGAGACAGGGTTTCTCTGTGGTTTTGGAGCCTGTCCTGGAACTAGCTCTTATAGACCAGGCTGGTCGCCAGTTTGGTTTATGGAGTGAGTTCAAGGACAGCCAGCGTGGTTACACAGAGAAACCCTGTCTCAAAAAATAAGTAAATAAATAAATAAATAAATATTGATTCAGTTAAAAAATAGAAGGAAATCTAGAAAGATGAACCGAGGGAAACCGTTGTCCTCGTACTTAAAATAGCAGTGATAGCAATTTGCTCCCAAGTATTTGAAGTGATTTCATAATAACTGAATGCTGGTAAGTGTTGAAGAGTTCATTATGCTAAAAAGCTCACTTCCTGTAGTAAACTTTCAGATAAGATCTTTGTTGTGATAATCATTTCAATAAATATTCATTAAGTTCTGGTGTGTGCAGTGTGCTTCAAACCTGATATGAAAGCCCTAAAGTCAGGCTGGAGAAATGGCACTTTGGTTAACAGCTACTACCCAAATTCCATTCCAGCACCCATATCAGATTCTAACTCCAGTGGATCAAACATCCTCTTGTGGCCTTTGAGGGCACTGGCACACTCAGCATATACAGCAATCAAAATTAAAAATGTAAAGAGAAAACACCAAAGTCTTTGACCTTCCCAAAGGAACGATTTAGTTAGAAGTTCCCATTCAACTTTGAACAAATAGAATTTAAGGATTAGTGCAACCAGGGCTGCTGAGATGGCTTAGTGAATACAAACCTTGCCAGGAAAGCCTGGTGATTTCAGTTCAATCCCTGAAACCCCCGGAGACATGGAAGATGAGAACAAACTCCAAAAAGTTGTCCTTTGACCACCATACATGCATTGTGATATGTATGCCCACCCACATATGCACACATGCTATAGTGATGATATGAATAAATAATGGAATTATTTAAATAAAAAATTGTGTGGAACATCGCAATAATATTAGCCATTGAAATAAGGTAGGAAATAGATTGACATAGTAAAGTCCTTGTGTTAACTTCAAGTTAAGTGCTCTGTCTCCGGGCTTCATATCCAGCCTGTGTCTTTAAATAAATGTGCTCAGGTATGCATGTGCAGGTGGAAGCCTTAGGTGTTAACTTCATGAACACCATCCATTTCTTTTTGAGTGGGGTCTTGGGCTGGAGAGGTAGCCGGCTCAACGCTTAAGAGCACTGGCTGTTCTTTTAAAGATCCTGAGTTCAATTCCAAACAACCGTGTTGTGGCTCATAATGAGATTTGGTGCCCTCTTCTGGCCTGCAGGCATACGTGCAGGTAGAATACTGTACATATAATAAATAAATATATATATTTTTAAATAGGGGTCTCTTATTTGTCTGGAGCTCACAATAGGTCTAGATTGGCTGAGATATGAGCCCTGGGGGTCCTCCTGTTTCCAACACTCAGTGCTGAAATTATGAGCATGTGCTACAACTAGCATCATTTTTATGTGGTTCTGGGGATCAAATTCAGGTCTTAGGCTTTCAAAGCAAATGTTCTACCTATTGAACTATCTCTGCAGCTTTGCTATTAGGTTCTCAAGATCATTAGATCGATGTAATCTTCAAAACGATTTTAGTATGTTTTTGTTTGTTTGTCTGGTTTTTCAAGACAGGTTTTTTTTTTTTTTTTTTTTTTTTTTTTTTTTCCTGTGTAACAGGCCTGTCTGTTCTGGAACTCGATTTGTAGACCAGGCTGGCCATGAACTCACAGAGATTCAAGTGCTCAGATTAAAGGTGTGCACTGCCATCGCCCACCTCTAGTGTGTATTTTTAACCTTATATGCTAACTTTTGTCACAGTGACAAAGACTTTAGATCAGTGCTTCTCAACTTGTGGGTCTCGATCCTTCGGCAATCCTCTTTTTCCAAAAATCTTTACATTATTATTCATAACAATAGCAAAATTACAGTGATTAAGTAGCAATGAAATGACCTTATGGTTGGGGGTCACTACAACACAAAGAGCTGTATTTGGAGCTGCTCTAGGAAGGCTGAGAACCAGTGTTTTAGATAATGAACTTTTGTAAAGAGAAAGGTTTTGTTTCATGGTTTGGAGGTTCTTGCCCATGACTGCTTGGTCCATTGCTTAGGGCCTATGACAAGGCTGGAAAAGTACATAACAGAGCAACCCCCCCCCCCCCCCGCCATGGCCAGGAAATGAAAGAGAAGAGAAAGAAACCAGAGCCCCAAGAGTGCACTTCTGCTGACCTAAAGACCTGCTGGGTTGCTTCTTAAATGCTGGGTAAGGGTTGTGGTCAACTTGATAGGATTTATAATGACCCAAGAGCTATACCTTTGGATGTATTTGTAAGGATGTTTCCAGAGAAATTGAGCTGAGGAAAGAAGATCACTCTGAATATGGATGGCATCATCCCTTGGAGTGGTGGGGTGGAGGGTGGGGAGGGCAGACAGAATAAAACCTGAAAAAGGAGAAAGTGAGCTGGGTACCAGCATTCACTCCTGACTGTGGAGGCAATGTGACCAGTTGCTTCACATTCCTGCTGCCACAACTTGAGCCATTTTTGCCATCACTCTTTCTCCTAAATGGTGGATTATACATAAGCCAAAATAAATGTTTGCTAAAATTTCTTTCCTCGGGTACTTTGTCATAGTAACGGAAAAGCACAGCCACTATCCTGCATTGCCAATGTGGGCACCAAGCCTCTAACATATGATCCAAACTATTGTACCGTGCTTTAAAAATGAGGGAAAAGATGTATGGAGATCTGAATTAACCAATATTTCCAAATGATTGTGACTCCAGACTCATAATCATGTCAGCCAAGCATGCTATCGCCGAGGAAATGGGAGGATAAGATGATGAATTGTGGGAGCAGAGAGGACGCAGAGTGAAACCTAGTGGTGAAGAGAATGGCAGCCTCAGTGACTCATGGGAGTTTGAGGTCAAGAACAAGAGGATGACATAATTTTGCTCTTGTTAAATTTTAAAAAATCAGTTATTTGGATGTGTATGGGTGTTTGATTGCTTTCATGCCTGTGTGCCATGTGTTCGCAGTGCCTGCAGAGGCCAGAAGAAGGTGTCAGATCCCCTGGCATTGGAGTTACAGGTGATTGCGAGCCGCCACTTGGGTACTGGAAATTGAGTCCAGATTCTCTGAAAGAGCAGCCAGCAACCTTCCCAGGTCTTTTACTAGACCTGGATGGAGGTGGGTGGTCCTTGGACTTCCCACAGGGCAGGGAACCCTGATTGCTCTTTG